TTTAAAAATTATTTCGACAATTAGAGTATACCTGGACGGATCAGGACAAAATGTCGTTAGAAGGTATTAGAACAGGTATTTCAATATTTAACTCCATCAGATCTAAAACGATGAAACTTATGTCACACTGATGAGCTGAATAATTTACATACTTTTTGCTTTTAGATGATCAGTCTTTGCAAATTGGTTCTCATTTAAGTGATGATGTTGTTGTTCCTCGGATATAATACGATTATTTTGTGTATGAATTGTTTTACCATTCTCAATCAAATTTGATGGGATGTGAAAATTTGTTTCTTGTGGATTATTTGTTACCAGAACATAATTGATTATAATAGGATGGATTCTTGAGTTGTTTTATTGTATAGTTAGAGCTGAATTAGCAAATTTTCCTCAAAACGCAGTTTCACTAGGTTTAGCCACCCTTTCTTGGAAAAAAAAATTGCCACGAGATTAAGTATGGTCGATAACCTATGTTTCCGTTGACTTTACAGGCTACCAAAAGGCTTTAAAGGCTAGATTTCTAGGATATTCAGGATGTTAAGGATATTTAGGATAGCAAGGAAATTCAAGATGTGTGGAATATCTGGGATGTTCATTAGGAATGGTAACCACTCGTTTTCTAAACAAGCTTTGTTTCTTTGTTACTTTATTACGGGCGATAAATCTTGTATACAGTCTGATAACAGCTTGTTAGCGGTTACTAGTAACAGTAATGTAATGAACCACCCCTATTCACGAGCCATTTACCTCTAATTCTAGGCGAAAAATAAATCATGCCCACTCGAACCAACGATCATACTTTTTATAAAAACCAAAACGTTTTTAGAAGCCTGACTAGATTTATGGGATGATAAACACCCAATCTAAAAAGGTTTTTTGAAAACAAAGTAACAAGGATTTGGAAAAAAATATTGCCACGAGATTCAGTATGGTCGATAACCTATGTTTCCGTTGACTTTACAGGCTACCCGAAGCTGCGTAATTCCAGACTCACAGCAAAATGGATTCCACACCTAAAACTACAGAGGCTGAACCTACTGATCAAAATATCACACGAAATTCGACGAGTTTTAAGATGGTCTATGCACAAAATGTACTTTAGTGTAAGAAATAGTAAAAACTGAAGTATGTCGGATTTTTCCCTCGTCGGTTTACTTCTGTTCCATAAAAAATATCGGACCCAAAACAAATCGTAAAAATAAATCGACCATCTTGTAGACAATTTCATGCTCTATCAAAATATACATAAACTGGGATGCAGTCTGACCTTTAAGTACCCAAAAATTTAAAATTTTGTGAATGTGTTTCCTATTAACTATGTGACCATATAAAAGTCTTGTCTGCGATTTTTTAACAGGTAGCAGTGAAGTTATGATTTGGATATCTTTCAATTCAGTCTTTCAAGCGTTCTTTTCTTGAGGAGTGTTTTGGACTGCTCCAGAAACGAGTGGTCTAGAGTAATCTTAGTAACTCTTTTCAGAAGGAGTGCTCCATTTTCCAAAAGGAGCACTCTGAAAACGGAGTACACCTTCATACTCCTACTTCTGACCTTTTTTTTGACTGGACGTTTGTACACGAAGTAAGTAGTCAAGAGAGAGAAAAGGTAGTCCGAAAAGAAAGATAGGTCAGACAGCACAATAGATTTTTTGATAAACGGAGCCGGAGGAAACGTTGAGATTAGAGTAGGGGCCGATGCGCGCTTCGATCTAGGTAAAAGTGACACTCTTGCAGCAGTTAGTAATATAAGTGTGCGCTGATGACACGTTGTACAATCGGCATTGCACTGTCGCCGTTCAATTGAATTCCACGTAGCTGATTTTTGAGTTTCGGAATAAAAAGAAGGCATACGGATTTAGATCTGGAGAATATGATGGATTTGAATATGATTCCATATGACTTTCAGTTAAAAATTCATTCTTAATCTAGACTTTAGGAGGTCTCTTGTTGTCGTCATGGAGACCGCGGAGTCCTGTCTTCTGTCTCTGCTCTGACACAATTTTGAAAGACACAATTTTGAAAACTTGGGGTAGACAGCTATTGACATACGAACTTGCATTTAAAAATTTTCACCAAGTTCCAGTGAATATTAACCGCGTGCCATCGGTAAAGTAGATTGAAAGCGCGTTTCTGCTGAGAAGCCTGATCATCCGTAACGCCCAGTTTCTTAACCGTACCACGTTTTTAACCGTAACCGCGTTTCATGGCGATTCCACTAATGTATCCGGGTGAACTGCGGTTGTGTTTAAAACCGCAAGAAACTGGGCGTTACGAATGACCGCGATTCTCAAAAGAAACGGTTTCGAAAACAAACGGATTCATCGCCGTGCAACATTCCCTCTTTCTGAATTGAGTGTAATCGTTGTGATGATTAGTCTAATTACAGTTAGCTTAATTAACCTAAAGTTTTATCACTTCCGTTCCCAGCTATGATTCGTGGATATCTAATTCACTCCATTATTTACTTTCATCTAACTGGAAGTACAAAAAAATGTTGGAAAAATTTAAAAACGTCATGTCGTTGTATTTATATTGTTTCGCACGAACTCCGCTTTTTTCGACAGTCAGCGGTAAACAGTGGACAAATGCTAGTAGTAAAAAGTATGCCCCGGGTGAGGATCGAACTCACGACCTTCAGATTATGAGACTGACGCTCTACCTACTGAGCCACCGCGGCGACAACTTGCGTTCTATGTCAGAATTATGCAACGTTAGCGGTTAACACTCAACCAACGTTGACGATTCATTTCAACTCTTTTCAAATAATCTAGTTGTGATTTATACGTTTGGAGAACAGAATGGCGCTGATAACGAAAAAGTCATTCTCTCGATTTGCGCTTTAAGCTATGCATTAGAGGAACAAACTATTTTTCTGTTTCTCATCTGGTTTATTGTATGGCGCGCACAACTCGTACTCAGTGATTAAGAACAGTATAGTTTTCAGTTGCTGTATTTCATCCAAGTATGAAGGTAAAAAGATGTGATCAATTAATTTAGTTTATCTCCAAAGATTTTATATGCTGGACTTTTTAACAGTCATGCCGCAGAAAACCCTCAAACCACAAAAATTATTTTAGCTTTGTCTAAACTGTCTTATAAAAGTCTGAACAAACTGAGACGATTACGGGTTTTGAGCAACGTTTTCTTGCTTAATTATGAACGGTACAAACTTTGGCTTAGTTTTGCATATTTGAATCAAATGATAGAATGATTTTTTTCCATTGCATACCGAAATGAATTCCCAGCGAATGCGAATTCATTTTTTAGAAATTCAATTTTAGAAAATACAAAGAATGTGTATTTGTCAAGCTATATTCTAAGGAAAAAAATGGAAGAAGAAGAGAAAAAGTAAAGTAATAAAAACGAAAGAATAAAAGGCTCCTATTGAACTAAGTATTATCTACAAAATGAGACAGTTTCCAGCTCTGCACATGGATTTATTGATTGTTCTGGTTACTGAATTCATATTTTTTAACCATTAGAAGAACTCTCTAGAATGCTTTAGTGTTTAGAAAGAGCTTTATCAAGATCCATAGGGAAGAACCGTTCTTTCCAGTTCTCACGCTGTATAGGAAGCTAATCCCTGATTTTCCAGTCTATAAGGAAAAGACCCATACCACCTTAGTATGGGCAGCAGTAAGACTTGCTGCTTTAGTTCAATCATATTTACGAAAGCCTTTCATCTTAGGACCTTTGGTCTTTGTTGACAAGCTTTACTTAATAGAAAATGCATCTTGATTAGTTTATTATTTTAGGTATTACACGCCCAGCTGTAATGACAAGGCCTTGTTAACATGCGAGTTCACGAAAGAGATGTTGCATGTTTCTAATATATTTTGATCAAAGATTCCACCTTTGACACAAGCTCTTGCTTTCCCGTGCATAAACGTAACGTTATTTTTAGCAATAAAGCATAGTTCAGTGAACAAATACTTCTTAGTAAAACGGTTAGTACGAAGGCAGAACAACCGGATCCGTGTCTTCGCATGAATCCGGGAAGACTCCCATGGATCCCTAAATATCCGAAAGTTGTCCTAAGAGAACAAAAGCCTTCTATAAATCTGTTATACATTTAAAACGGCTAAGTAGGGTGAAACGAATATTTCGCACCCATTGCAATGTGCTTTTCGTACTTTCCTCAGAATGAAACACGTTTAAAGGAAAGTCTTATATACAATTCGATGCAGCCTTAAACGGTGAATAAAACTATCTATTGCTTAATTGCTATGTACACAGCGAGCACCCACGTTTTTGGAATATTACTGTTAAAAATCACCTTTTCAGCAAATTCTACGATATTGGTTCTATTTTTTCACCATGAAAGGACCTAGACTGCGGTCTACACTATATATCAAAAGAAAGCTCCTTCAAAAGTCTAGAAAATGGCTGGTAATTCATTCCTGGTTGAAGGTGTTAGCACCCACTTTTACGGATGTTACTGCTGCAGAGTGATGTTTTCGGCATTGACGGATAGGCTTAATCCATATGAAACCAACCAGCATCTACATCGATCTCTGACATCAGTGACGGGACAGACTTCATATTATAGAGCTCAGAAAACTGAACCGAATGGTGAAAACGCAAGTCTCTAGCCTAGTTAGAAAAAAGTTATAGTCATTTCACCCTCGCAGCACAAAAATGCAGTTTTCGGCGGATTTGGCCTTACATGAAGAACGTCTCTTGACCATTTTCCCTATTGTAGAACCTTGAAGTTGGTATCAAATGAAAGAGCGTCTCGAGTTTTACATATTTTGATGAAGAAAAATTATACTACATCTCAGGGTCTTGAGATAGGGATTTCTGAAAAAAAAACGTTTTCTAGAAAATCTAATGATCTTGAAATTTCTTTCAGAAGTTTTTCAACCATATCATTAGATAGCCCCTTGGCTTGCTCTCAAGGAAGGTATATATTTCGAGTTTTCTAGTATTTCAGTCTAGTGACGCAGAGAGGAAAAAACCTAAGCAAACGTTTTCTGTAGACCGGAGATAGATGTCGGGAGATGGCAGTAAACTGTGCTAATGCCAGAAAAAGTCGAAAACGTCTTAGCTGTATATTACATAAGATGGGTGGGGAGAGCATTCTTTAGAAATCAGAAATATGTCCAGACATCTGGAGATCTGTGTAGAGTCTCGAGAAAAACTTTCAGATTTACATTACATTACGAACCTTATACAACAAATCAAAGAAAAAATTATAACATATTTTAGATAGCACCCTAGTGAACGTCGACCGAAGGGAGGCTTGAGCGTTGTGGTGAATTGCAAAATGATGGAGGGTCGTTCGCATATATAAGTTCCTAAAGTCAAGGGACCAAGCGAGTGCAGACGAGCATTCCCTTGCTATATTAAGTCCCAGCGTACCTTGACGAAAACAGATCCGTATTGGTCAAAAATGTGCACTTTCATTGACTAAGAGAAATAGCGTATTATCCTAAAAGCGATAGATGGCGTCCTGTTTATGTCTTGTCCTATTTTGAGCTTTTCGTAAATTTGATATAGTTCTACCCAAAAACGTCGTAAAGAGTTTGAGGACATCTCATTTTGTAGAGAATTGTTTGCTCTATCATTCTCCGTAGTTTGAACAAAACTTTATTCGCAGGTTCTAGGTGCTGAAAAACTACAGTGGTTACAAAAATTGATCAACTGGGTGTATCTCCGATTTCTTTCCGCAGCCATAAACGCTGAAAAAGATTCAGGTAGTGACTTGAGTAGAAAAAATTGTTTCTAATACGGATTTGAGAAACTAAAACCATCGCTAAAGACATTTGTTGCGGAATTCGTTTCGAATATTCAATTGTATATTCACAACCATCAGTAATGCGTGGATCAATGGACTCATCCAGAAGACTACTAAACGTTTCTCGCTTACCAGTATAATTAATAGGTCATTATTTCGATCGATAGATAAATCGATATTGAAGGATGACGTATTACTAACTTTCAATTGTTGTAAAAATGAACTGATAATGCTATTGTTGGGTCTCGTGGCATTGTTATTATCTGTAATTGTATTATTCGTATTGTTTTCATTTAAAAGAAACTACGTCTTATTCGCGCGAGAAAAAGAATAAAAAAAACGAAATCACTATTTTCTCTTTGAATCATACACGATTGCATGAAAAAGAACAGAAGGGCAATGAATGGAATTTAAACACCGGGATTAGGCGTGCGCCAATTATTTAACTCCTTTTCGAGATATTTACACAAAACGTTATAGCTCAATAACTCGGAACCGTTCAGTATTATATAACAGTTCATTTTGCACAGAAATGTTTTCTCCTTTGTTCATGCAGTTCTTCGTAATGCAGTCATTCACACTTTAGCACATAGAGATCGAATATTTCACGCTTGTCTTCCTCCACAATTTTTCGTGGCTCGTCTGACCCACAGCCAACAGACAGATAAGTGCAATGATTGTCAGTTTCGTTATCAACTTTTTTGTACTATCTGATCGTTGACTGTAACACACGAACCAACAATAATTCACTTTCTCATAATGTATCCGTAAACGATGCCTATTTGTAGGTCACTTGATTGAACACTTGTTGATGTTGACGAACAAATCGTATTAGCCCTCATGCATCCACCTGTTGTACTGACACTTGTTGTCCACCTGAGTGTGAGATGTGTGGCGTAAGGATGAAATGAGTCACCCTCTCACATTCCCTATGGCATAAGTTTTATTCTACGAAACAGTACGATCGAAATAAAACAGAAAGCATTCAACAAAAAAAACACAAAGCAAATAGCCACATGCTTTCACTCTCATCTATAAAACAGTGTGAGAAAAAAAAACGCTTATATCTGACTATTCTCATGCAAACACTATTCGATTTCATATTTCATCGATAACAGTTATGTCAAATATCGACATACATTGGATTTGTTATTGCTTATTACTAATCATATTCATTCTACCAGCGACTAATGCTAGTGTAAATGGTGGTTCAGATTGTGCTACATGTACAATTGTTGTGGGTCTTGTTGAAAAACTATCGATTGTCCATAATGAAAGTATTGTTTCATCACTTGAACGTATCTGTAATGCTTTACCTACTGAATTGAAACCATACTGTAAAACAGCAGTCGAATTTTTGGGTAAGTTTTCACGTTCGTCTGAGTTCAAACAGGAAAAAAAGTAGGTTAAAATGATAGGTCCAATCATTATCGACGGCTTTCTGAAAAAGGAAACACCCGATGTTATTTGCCATGCCATGAAAATTTGTACGACAGATCCTGATCAACCGGAATGTCATCTATTTCCATCGAAATCATTAACGATGTCACTTGTGCACAGTGGATCTCGACTACGTCGACAACATCCAACACTTGAACCATTTTTCGACTTGAAACTATGTACACTGCCAGGTATCAGAGAAATTTGTAAAATATTCGAAAATGTTTTCAGAAGTCATATACCATTGGTCGACGTCGATAACGACCGATTCGGTATCGAATCGGCTTTTCGCGGTAGCTCCTGGCGTGGCAGAGATTGTAACGATTTTGTACGAAACATTCGACCGGGTGCACGTGCAGTCAAAGGTGATTATACTGTGGATAACAATTGTAATGGTATTTTCGGTATAAATGCATCGACCGGACGACCGTGGGAAGAAGAATTTTGTGATGATACACAACGTTTGGGTATTGCCGTTTTGGGTGATTCCATCTCGGCTCATTTTCATATACCGGAACAATGGCTCGATGCTAGTCAATTTTCACCAGCCGCTTTTGAACATATGATGCTTATCATTGAGAATGAACTCGATTGGCCACAAGTTTCTGATATAACAGGTCATGTGAATCTGACATGGCCGAATATTGAAGGTGAGTAAAAGATAGGAAGAAATTTCTACGAATGTACATTTCGAACTATGATTTCATGTTATGATCGATGTGAAAGCAGAAAACCTATGGGTAGGTTTCGAAAGAGATAAATCCAATTTTGAGATATTTTTAATGAATAGAAAAGTTCAATATGCGACCGTATTGTTTTTAGTGAAATCCTGCAACAAGAGGTTTCTCGAAATACCTAGTACCAAACGTTTTGTTTCGTCCGATTAAGGTCTTAAGTAAAGGTGCAAAACTTCGAAATAGTTTCGTTTCAAGAAAAACATGAAACGAAATTATTTTCGCGTTACGGCATTCGTTTGTTTTGATCGAACTACATTTTATAAGAAGTTTCTTGCCCTGCAGCATCATAGTACATTGTTTCGTCATTCATTAAATGAAAATAAAACAGTTGTTGAGCTGTTCATTATTTTCTAATGAATATCAAGTATTTTCGAATTAGTAAAAAATCAGAATCAAACAATTAGCACCTTCGGAAAGGTATGTTCAGTCTAATTGTTTCTCGTGTTAAACGAAAGAGAGAGATCTACCAATGTCTCAAAGCTGATCTGAGAATCTCAGAGAATGAATTCGGTCACTGATTTTACCTTCTCTACTATGTCTTTCATTGATCTTTTTGTTCGAGAGAAAAAGTAAAGATTCGAATAGACAGTTCATTCATCACATTTCTTTCATACTGCAGTATTCTCTATCAATTATATGTCTACCGATGCGGATAAGTATTACATAGTGGACTCTCATATTGACGAACAGAACTTTCCGAAGCTGTATACGATGGATTTTCTTATCTAAAGAACTATAAGATCTTCCAATTTCAATATAATAATTGAATTTCTAATGTTCTATCAAAATAACTATTCACTATTAGGCACAACTCGTTCAATCTATGCTCGAATGTTCGAACTTGATCATTGCAATCATCGTGATTACCAAAATATTGCTGTCAATGGTGCTAACAGTAAATCGATGCTTGATATTGTCAAAACCTTAAGTCGTGATCAAGAAAACGATGTACCAATGTTAGTTATTTATTCGTTAGTCGGTAACGATGTTTGTGATGGTCGTCTAAGTACAATGCTCGATATGACAACAGTCGAACAAATGCGTACAAATGTGTTAGCAACATTAACTTATCTGGATACGGTCTTACCCAAAGGTAGTCATGTACTAGCGACCGGTCTAGCTAATGGTAGCACTTTGTATGAATTATTACACGATCGTATACATCCATTCGGTCGTGTAGGTACACCGTTTACATACAAACAGATCTATTCATATTTGTCATGTTTACAAATATCGCCTTGTGCTGGATGGTTAACATCGAATGATTCCTTACGTGCATCAACAACACAACGTGCTTTTGAACTTTCCGATGCAGTGAAAAATGCGACATTATATGCGTCTTATAAGCCTCGTAATTTTGATGTTGACTATCTCGATTTTCCACTTGATGATATCATGGCCAAATGGATCGCACAAGGTGGGGAACCATGGCAATTGATTGAAAGTGTCGACGGATTCCATATTAATCAGTATGGTCATGCACTAGTTTCAGATGTTCTTTGGTCATGGCTAACAAAAAATAGGCCACAATGGTTGCCATCACTAAATCCACACAACGCTGACATTGAACGAATCTTCAAAGATCAAGGCGGTTATTAAACATGAACCAGAACAGCGTTTATCTTGTTCAATTGTTAACTTTTAACCGCTCATTTTTGTTTAGGAAGATTCTAAATGAGTAATAAAAGGATGAACGTAGTTTTCATGGTCTTGAAAAGATAATGATCTACTCGATTCTTCTAAAAACATCTTCAATAGAGCCTTAGCAAATAGGTGATGTTAGATTGCATTCACATTGTACATCTTTATTTCTTTCTTTTCTGTGCGTTTAGACAGAAAAGAGAAAAATAGAAAAAGAGTGAAGAAAATTTTCATTCACATAATACATAATACCCTAAGAGAACTAAAAACAAAAAGAACTGAACGAATGGAGGATGCAACGCATATATTTCCAGGGACTTTAATCATACAAAATAGAGATTTTTAAAATGCAAATAATTCTTCTTAAAAAAAGTGAACAAAAACGAAGAAAACAGATTGTTAATTTCGAAAGAAAAAGGAGCATTTTTAGAATAGAAATGTTGCCGAATATACGTCCAAATATTCAAGTCAGAGATGGGCGAGTACACGAATTTCTGAGTACGAGTACTGAGGGTCGAGTACGAGTGTTTTCTGTAAAGTACTCAAGTACTACTCGAGTATAAAATCTTTCTAAAGAAGCCGGTGATTCCGAAAAAATCTATTTTTCGATGCGTAAATAGTAGAAAAAAAGGTCACCAGTTTTTGGGGAAGTCCCGTTTTAAAAAAAAGCCCCGAGCACGAGTACAAGGATACACGTTACAAAAGTTGAATATGACTTAACGATTGAAGAATACAAAAAAGAATAAAAATAACAGAAATTAAGCGACCCAATGATAAATTTGTAATTGCATATTTATACACTGGACCGCTTGTCCAACTAACGCCCCCCATTTTTTGCTCTTTTTCGAAAAGTTATTGCAATAAAGCTACAAACTAATATAAGATGGCAACTAGATGATTAAGTAGATTAAACATTTCTATACAAAATGAAAAGTGTTTCGGCTCTGAACGTTGATTCGTTATAAAAATACAGCCGTTGTACAGACAGCCCCAAAGGACTAAGGGCTCCTAAGGGGTGATCCATAAGTTTTGGACCCTCTCTGTAAATTAACATTATCAATATGATATACATATAATAAGATTCAGCTGTTTTCTGCAAAATTTTCCCCATTTAATTCTCTACACAATGGTATATAGGAGATGATCCTGAGAGTTGAGATGCCGTCGTAATTGAACTGAAATCAAAATGTCCTAAAACTGTCAATCTTCCAAGAAACGAACAGTCGCGTTTCCTTTATATGCGTTGTTTATATATCTTCCTTACTAATAGAGCTAGAGATATAAAAATCTACAGTAATAATCATCTGATTGTAAGAGATTAAATATTAAATGTTAAACCTGTTAGGATCCTTGAAAATCTTATTTTGAATCCTGTCAGGATGCTGAAATTCCATGGCTACACGCTTCTTTAAGGACTTAGGAGATTCCTGAACGATTGCTAGTTCAAAACTAGTGGTAAACTGGAGTGGTGCGGTCAAGGCGCTCAAACACGAATTCGCAGATGGCGCTTTTTTGTACTTCGGTGCAATTAACCGGAATTTCGAACACTGTGTAAACATACCAAATCTACGAAGTGTATCGAGAAGCGAACTGCATTTGGAAACTGTTGAACGTTTTTTATGTTTCAACAGTTTGCATTTTCGAAGTGATCGCGAATTGTATATTGTTGAAAACATGCTCACTAATGTGCAGAGATGAATTCGGCAAAATTGCCTAACTTTTTTAAGCGTCAATTCAACAATGGTGGCAACGTTACAACAGCAAGTGCTAGTGCCAGCGTTACAACAGCAACATGCAAGATCGAATTCGTCAAACTATGCAAATTCTTCAACAACTAAACAAAAATTTAATTGTCAATTCGAAGCTATGTAACAATGTACATTTTCGAATCCGTGGCTGTCGAAATTCGCAAGCGCCTAGATCTAAACGTAAATAAAAATCAAAACATTTTTTCATCCAAGTGTTCAAATCTGCAAATTCTTACCATCTTGCACATCGCAATTAATTCGTAGAGAAATTGTGAGAATTTGGAGGAGAATAGCTGTAATAAATATCTAAACTCAGATAACATTTTCCTACGGCTCTGAAAATCTACAAATTGCTTGCACATTGCAGTTAATTCGTATTAAATTGTGCAGTTTAATTTAATTTATTTATTTTATTTTTTTTTTTTTTTGGATGATGATGAATTTATGAGTTGAAGAGACAGAAGAGAGAGAATAGACTTGCTGCTTTTTGAATTATCATTCAAATGAGATAAATGAATAGGTGCCAGTCTCTATGCTAAACGTTTCTAGAAAAATCCTCACAAGCAAGTTAGATTTCTTTTGGGTGGCGCTAATCATTTACTCTCGAAAATCAAGCAGAAGAAAAGCAAAATAAAAGACAAGCACGGTCATAGAGCGGAACGTCTTGCTATATCCTGATTTTTGAATCCGGGACGGATTCTCCCAGGGCGACGGGGTGATTGTAACGGCTCATCGCCGTTACATTTATTCTCCATGCTTGATCTTATCACAGTTTCTAGAAATTCTTAAAACTTCGTAGTTTCGCGGGTTTTTGTGTGTGTTTATTTGTCCGTACAGAGATGTGACGGACGTACATACATATAGTGACTAATGGATGTGACGGACCAAAAATCCGGGCAAAATTGGTTGGAATCTTCAGATTGCCGCACCTAAAAAGCGCGACCGATGATGATGAACCGTTAAAATGAATGGCAGCTATCTACTGTAACGAATCCTTTGACATAAATTCGGGTCCTCTGTCGTTGCTGTCTTTGCCTTAAAATCAGTAAACTTGAACGGATTAAGTAAGATTTGTATTATTTGTTTCGTTGACTTTTCAACATCATCATCATTATTTTTATTTCAGTAATTTCCTTCTGAATTGATTCGTTCTTTAAATGCTAGGAAACCTTTATTAATTTGCTGGCCCTACTGTAACACCCGTTTGTGAATGTACATCTCAATTCACAAAAACTTCAAAGTTACTGAGGATATTTTCATCGTTCAAAGGTGAAACGAAAAATATTCAAGCTTTTACATCATGAAAGGAGTACGGAGGATAATACCCTTTCCTGGTCCGGACATTTCCATACACTTAGTTTTATTAGTTAGCAAAAATCTTTCAAACGGCTTTCTAAGGCCTTAGGTTCCCTACAGCGTCTTTGAAAAACTTTTCATTTTTAATGTTTTTCAAACACACCTGGTAATATGTAATTGTCAAATTCATCAAAAAAATTTTTCGATTTGTGTGAAGGTTTTGTAGTTTTTTGTATTAAAATAAGGAACCCTTCAACCAGGTATTCCATATATCCGACAGGCGGTTTTCAGAAAAGCTTTTCAAAAAACCCGACCTTTTTTTTTAATTTATTTATTTAGGCAGAGAATTATTTAGGAGTTAGATTCAAGAGCAGACAGCTGATTCACTTACACTATGATAGTTTAAAATTAAACCAGTTATTGAATTAAATATGAATTAGAAAGCTGGATGATAAATTGAATGACTTCCACATAGTAAGACAATATTTTTGTACTGCAAGAAGTAGAACGATAAAGCGCAACAGGTTGAAAAGGCTGATTCGTACTAGCCCTATTAGCTCTTCGAGGATTTTCTTAGATATCCACCGCTGCATGGAAGCTCACCAGTCTACCTGTGCTTTATTTTCTAAAGGTTGATCAGAAAATCTATGCCATCAAGATGGAAAGTGATGAAGAAGTTGAGTATGACGAGAACAAAGAAAAGGGCAATCAAGATTATTATGCTGATCGGCGTGATAGTCTAACTGGTCGAGCTGATCCATTTGTCTCGGAGGAAAATCATTCCAAATTAAGTAAGATACCTGGTACCGGTCATCTTACTTCGTTCGTTCGCCACTATCGTGATAAATATACCGTTAAAGAACAAAGACCACTTCAGAAAAAGAAACGGACATTTTGCACGTTGACACCAAATCAGTGGCTTACGCTGCTGAGCACCTTCCTACTGCCGTTAGCGCTGGCAGC